AAATTTACATCCAAATTAGTTAGTGTATAGTGCAACAATGATTTCAGGAGTAGATTCCTTAGTGCCCCTTACCCATTTAGCCCCTCCCCCCTCCCACAACCCCTCCAGTAATCCTCAGTTTGTTCTCCATATTTGAGAGTCTCTCTGTTTTGTCCCCCTCCCTGTTTTTATATTATTTTTGTTTCCCTTCCCTTATGTTCATCTGGTGTTACTTTGATAGGGATTGCATTGAATATGTAGATTGCTTTGGGTAGTATCAGTAGTTTAACAATATTTGTTCTTCCAATCCATGAGCATGGAATGCTTTTCCATTTTTTTTTTTTGTCTTCTTTAATGTCTTTCATAAGCTTTCTATAGTTTTCAGTGTACAGATTTTTCATCTCTTTGGTTAGGTTTATTCCTAGGTATTTTATGGGTTTTGGTGCAATTGTAAATGGGATCGATTCCTTGATTTCTGTTTCTGTTGCATCATTATTGGTGTATAGAAATGCAACTGATTTCTGTGCATTGATTTTATGTCCTGCAACTTTGCTGAATTCATGGACCAGTTCTAGCAGTTTTTTGGTGGAATCTTCTGGGTTTTCCATATAGAGTATAATTTCATCCTTGAAGACTGAAAATTTGACCTCCTCCTGGCTGATTTGGATGCCTTATATTCCTTTGTGTTGTCTGATTGCTGAGGCTAAGACTTCCAATACTATGTTGAATAACAATGGCGAGAGTGGACATCCCTGTCATATTCCTGACATTAGGGGTAAAGCTCTCGATTTTTCTGTTTTTTTGAGGATGATATTAGCAGGGAGGGGGTCTTTCATATATGACTTTTATGATCTTGAGGTATAATCCTTCTGTCCCTATTTTCTTGAGTGTTTTATCAATAAAGGATGCTGTATTTTGTCAAATGCTTTCTTTGCATCTATTGAGATCGTGTGGTTCTTGTCCTTTCTTTTATTGATGTGATGTATCACATTGATTGTTTTGCTGATTTTGAACCAGCCCTGCATCCCAGGTACAAATCCTACTTAATCATGGTGAATAATTCTTTTAATGTATTGTTAGATCTGGTTGGCTAGTATCTTATTGAGGATTTTTGCATCCATGTTCATCAGGGAAATTGGTCTATGGTACTCCTTTTTAGTGGGGTCTTTATCTGGGTTTGGAATCATTACATGCAAGGTTTTAAACCAAATTTCTATGCTGAAGCCTTCTTCTTTTTTTTTTTTTTTGTAATGTTTAGCCAAGATTTTTTTTTGAGTCTCACACTTTGAATGCTATGAAAACTCGCCCTCCCTTGAGCTCTACACTTCCCTGGTCTTTTCCCCAAGTACCCCTGAACCTATCACTCCTGCTACCCTCCACCATCCTGATGCCCATGTCAGACACCTGCATGGCATTTAGGGCACTGTTGCCTTCCTCAGCTATACACCCACTTCACCATCATATGCTGTGGATTCTTCCTCCAAAATAGATCTGTACCCCCTCCTGTTCTGACCGTCTCCAAATCAAGAGCCCCTTATTATGTTCGGCTAGGTTACTACGATAGCCTTCTAATAATTTTCCCTCCTTTAAATATTGCTCACCTTAAATCTGTTTACCAAACAGCAGCTCAGATGATCTCTTAAAATTTTACATTAAATTGTTTTGTTTGTGGCTTAAAATCTGTGACTTAGCATTTGACAGAAAAGCGAATCCCAATTCTTCAGCATTTCTGTTATTCCCTGAATGATCTAGCCCTGCTTCCCTCTCTGAACTCCTTTTATGTCATTGTCCTCAGTCATATGTGAGTGAGCTAAACTCTCCTCCTTTATATTTCTCTGAAAGTCTTCTCCCTGCCCCTAACATCATAGCCCTTTACATTGTTGTTCTCTTTGCCTTCCTCCATAGTCTTAAATGAAACATTTCTCTAGAATCACAGGAAATGTCATTTCTCACAGGAATTTCCCCCTGACTGCTCACAGTACAAACTAGAACCCACTCATGATATTGTCTCCTAGGGACTAATATTATATCGCTTTACAGAATGAATCATAATATATTGTAATACAGTAAGAGGCTCTATAAGAATAGTTAAAATCCCCCAGACTCTGTGTCACAGTGCTAATCTGATCCTGTCTCTTATTTGCTTTGTGACAATGCGCAAGTTATTTAACCTCCCAGTGCTTAAGTTTCCTCATGAATAGTAATAATACTTATCTTGTAGGATATTTGCAAAGAGGAAAAAATTAATATTTCTAGAATAAATGCAGCAGAAGGCAGACATCATATATGTGCTTATATGTATGTATATGTTTGTGCATAATTTACTAAATGTCTGAAGGCATAAAACCATCACCTGCCATAATTTTTGACCTATGACAGGCTGATAGTAAACATTTGCTTATTGAATTAATGAAATGTGCAGTGCACCTTATAATTAAGCTTCAATGATTTCCAGAGGAAAAAAAAAAGGAATGATGTTTTACATTTATAAAAGTATGTGATCAGTTACAAAGTTTATATTTTGGTTTGTGATCCACCTGTTAAAATTATTTAATTATATGTTTTTAAGAATATCTCCAGCATTTCATCTGGCCAGACCCCTACCTTCTAGAAAATATGTTTTTATTATTAACTTCATTTTGCGGATGAGACTCTAGGCCCCAAGAGCCCAAGTGGCTCATACAAATAGCAGAGTTGATCAACGGTAGGATGATCCCACTGACCTCTAGTGCCCTGGATCTCACTGCATTACTTCTCTTGTTCTTATGTTCTTTTGGAAATGCCCAGTGAACTATGTGAACACGTTTTGTGGGGTTGGTGATACTGCTTTGGTTATGATTGTTAGATTTTCACTTTTGGACAGGTATCAAAGTTTACATTCTCTCCTCCTGTAGCATCCTTGTGGTTCAGGGACTCGTCACTTAGAGCAAAACCTGTCTTCCAGGACCTGCTTGCCCTTAGCCTTGCCTTCATGATTCCACAACATTCGGTATATAAGCTGTGGAGTGATGGTTCTGAAAGGCCACCCGTTGTTCCTAATTCTTTCGTATTACTTTCCTCCGTTAAACCTGTTCCTGTCGTTAAGTGCAATATTTTCCCCCTAGCTTTTCCTTATGAGAGGCAAGCAAATGGCTAGTTTCTCCTTGAACCTGCTCCATATCATTTCTGGATTCTGAATACATTTCATTGTTGTTGTTGGGTTTTTTTCCCCCCTCTAAATGCTCGGGTATTTGAGAGCTGAAAGGGATCTTACATAATTAAAGTCCCAAATTCATAATCAGAGAAGCTAAGCTTCATGAAGGTGAGTCACAGGCTCAGGGTTACAGTAGGAGGGAGGCTTAGATGAAAATTGCTATTTGATCGTCAGTGCACTTCAGTTACCAGTTTACTCATTTTCCTTTATGAAAGAAAAAGCACAACAGGATTGGGACGTAGAAGTCATGAATGCAACTAAAATTGTGTGATTGATTTTCATGTTCATTTGTGTATTTACTTTTGTGTCTTTCACAGTTTAACAGCAATGCCCAGGATGTGAGCTGTTTTCAGCACCTTGTCCAAGCCAACGTAAGAAATAAGAAAGTGCTGAAAGATGCAGTGAATAACATCACAGCAAAAGGAATCACAGACTATAAGAAAGGCTTTAGTTTTGCTTTCGAACAGCTGCTTAATGTAAGTATCCATACCATCCCCTTTTCTCTTTTATTACTGAATCATAGCATATGAATTTCAGTAGGCTGGTGGTTAGTACTACCAGTAACTATCAGTTACATAACTGTTGTTTTTCTTTTATTTAAAAAGCAGATGTGTCCAGGCAGTAGAAATCTTTGAACTACTTTTATTTTTAAATCCCGAACTCAAAGGCATACACCGTGTAGACATTCTTTTCCTTTTAGATCTTCTCTTCCATCATCTCTTTGAACTCTCTTTCCAAAAGAAACATTCATATGATAATTATTTAATTTTGCATAAGCACTTCAAACTTAGTTGGCATATTTAGAATATCATTTATTTTTTCTTATTTCAGTTGCTGCCATGTTTATGTGGAAACTTGTGTTTTTCAGTCATCAGTGGTTGGTAGAAATGTTTTAGTTTCAAACATCTATTTGGTTCTTAAAGTTGTTACTTAATGTCCACAAAGGTCCAAATGGCAGACATTAAGGGGAATAGGATATAAGTCTCAGAGCAGGAATTTCTTCCTCACTGAAGATCTCTCCCTCACCAGATCACCCATCCACGTCTCCAGTTAGATTCTCAGACTTCGGCATGCTTGCTGCCTGCCCCATACATTAGCACGTACCTCACGCTGTGGACTAGTGTTTTCAAGTGGGCATGTTGTCTGTCATTTTGAGCTCTTCTAGAGCAGGAGTCGTCATTGAGGTTTTTATCTCTCACGAGGCACTATTATCACCATGGTTGAGAGTGTGAACCTAACCTTTCTATACCTTGGTTTCCTCACTTACACCATGGCATGTACAGCAGAGAGGGCCGTAGACAGGATTGTCCACAGAACCCGACACATAGCAAACCTCATGTGAGTGTGGGTTGTTGCCTTGGTATTGGAGTCATGGTCATTATTACTATAGTTAATGACTAACACGTGTCTGGTACAGAGTCAGCTGATCATTCAAACCATATTTGCTGAGTCACCGAATAGGCCCTTAAATGCAGTCTTGTCTGCAAGTTGGACTTGGTTGTTCCCTAAGTAAGGCTTCTAAAATAGTTTTCAAGATGTCTGATTGGTTGCCTCATTCATTTGTTCATTCAGCCAATATTTATTGTGTGCCTCACAATTTCCTGTCACATTACTATTGCTAGAATAGCAGAAGTAAACAAGGCTGTCTGATCTCAAGAAGGTCCAGCATGACATGGTAAATCATCATTCCTAGTACAATGCGTTAGTGCTGTCATAGGGCATTCACAGTGTGTTTATTTGAACATGACTGAGGCGGAGTTTGACTTACCCAAAGGATGTCAGGAAAGTGGGGCATTTCCTTGAAAACAGGATTTTGAAGAATGAGTAGAATTTAGGTAGGTACACGAGAGAGGGGAAAATCACTTCAGAGAAAAAGAACAACATGGACAAAGCCACAGTCATATAGGACAACATGGCACATTGGAAAAATGGCAGGTGGTTTGGCATGGCTGGGACATAGCAATGCGGGAGCTGCAAGGGAAATAAAAAGGCCATGGGGTATCAGTTAATGAGGTGTTTAGGAGCAAATGAAAAGTTTATAATATGAGAATGACATGGTCTAACGAGTGTTCTAAGTTTAGCTGTTATAGAAATCCTGGTGTTGGAGTAAAGGCAAAAAAAATGTTAAGGAGGGTGATGTGGTGATAATCAGATAGTTCTCTGGACTAGAATGCTAGGTGGCTGGTAACACAGGAATCTAAGTAGAGGTATGTGAGGGTAGTAATAGCTCCGTTTCAGACATACCGAGTTTGCGGTGGTGATATTTATTAGATAGCATTAGATCAGCAAGTAAGGAGACAGAAAAGCCAAGTAGTTCAGTGTTGTAGTTCCCAGGGGAGTTACATTTGGTAAAATGCATATGCTTATGAAATGATGTATGTTGGCTCATAGAAGGATGAAAACTCAAAACTTTGAAATTCAAATGTAATTGACCATTAGATTAAGATGTATTCTTTCTGTAGTAAAGAAATACAAGTTTGTGGAGTTTTTTCAAAGAAGTTCTTTTTCTTTTGAGTCAACCAAGTTGGTGGCATCTTAACTGCTCTTCTTGGTATTGTTAATTTGCCTCACTTCGTTCCCTCCTATTCAGGTTTCAGTTGTGAAATGATAAGGAGTCTCAAGCCTAATGTACTATTTCAGAGCCCGTCTCAGTAGAGAGGCCACATTAACTCCCAGATTCATTACTAGTTGCTGATAAAATATGATTTAACTCCTATTGGCCTCTCGTACTGCCTCTATAATTGTAAATTATTTTTAATCTGTTCTCAGTTATTCCTGAAGCCAGTCTCATCTGGTCTGCTTTCCACGTGTCCTTTACGTATTACAGTTCTTCATTTTAAAGTAATTTTCCCACATGTCATGCCTTGCCTTATTCAAAGTTGAAGGGAATTTTGTTACCTCTTCCAAATACTTCTAGGCGTCTTATTGCACAATGTCATTCTCTGTTTTTTGTTTGTCATTGCAAGGTCTATTATTAAGATCCCTAAAGCAAGTATCAAATAGAATTAAATGTATCATTTATCCCACAGTACGCCTTAAATTAAGATTTGAATTAGTCCTCAGTTGCATTTCAGAAAATATTACAAATATACGGAGATGCATTTTTCAAAAAAAAAAAATTAAATATAAGTATGATAGATTCTGGGCTGTATACTGGCCACACAGAATACAAGGATAAGCAAGAAGACACGTAATATAATTTGTTATGAAATAACAAAATAAGTTACCATCTGTACTGTCATTTTATTGAAATAGTCGAGTTCTTTCCTTTTCTTAATTTGTTACAAATCGGTAACATATAATTGTTATGATTGTGTGATTCTTTAGATGGTTGCACTTCCTTTGACTAGTTGCTGACTTTGCTGGACCACGTGTCTACTCAGGAGGCTCCTCCTGGGGGAAAATCTTGTTGAAAGCAAAACATTTCTTCATTCCGCCTTTTTTGTGTGTCCTAATATCTATCCTTCTTGGGAAACATTACTATTCTAATTACACAAATGATCAGCATGCCCCAATGTCCTTACCTACCCTTGTATTTGTGTTGAGTAATAACAATACCAACATTACTTCCAAAATTGGAACCAAGTTCTAATGAAGAACCTTGAATCACTTTTATGAAACAGTCTTTTAGGTACGTGTTATTTTGCCCATCTCATATATGTAGATAAAATGAAATCATCAAAGAAATTAATTCTAGTTAAGGGATTTTCAACACCTTTCACGAAAGCATTTTGATGATAAAATATGAAACTTTTTGATAAGTCCAATTTTCAGATGGCTTTCTTTAAAGAACGATGCTTGAATGTGACAAATTATATTAGTCAGTATTTGAGTTTTCATAATACTTGGTTTAAAGCTTTAACTGCCAGTGTTCTAATGGCCTAGTCAATGGGATGCCATTATATGAAATGGGATCTTTTCATCAGTAGAGCATAATATTATCTTGATTAACTTTTACACCAGGAAATGAGATTTATCTTCTTTGAAAAGTGAGATATGTTTGTTTTTTTTTTTTTTTTTTTTTTTTAAAGAAACCTAAATACTACAAGAGAATGAATGATTTCTTTCAAAAATAGTAATCATTTTAAGGCCAGGGCAGTGATGGCCTTTATGTTACTCAAAATCACATGTGGCTGTTGAGACTTGAAATGCGGCTGGTTTGAATTGAAATGCATTATAAACATAAAATACACACCAGAATTTGAAGAGTTAGTGTGAAAGAAAAAAAAATGTATATTATCTCAATAATTTCCATATGGATTCCATGTTCAATTGATAATATTTTGGGGGTGACTAGATTAAATAAAATATATTAGTAGAATTAATTTCAGATATTTTTCAGACATTCTTTAGTGTGGCTTTTAAAATTTTTAAATGACAAATTTGGCTTGCATTATACCTCCATTCAGCAGTACTGAGCTGGAGGCTTGACATTTTCAGAGAAGCCGAGCGTTCGTAAAGTAGTGAAATCTTTTATTCTCAACACTTGTGCAAACACATTTCACAACAGTAGGAGCTTGAGATGATGATTTCAGACCTCAGAGAACTCCAGCTTTCTAAATTAGTTCTTCATCTTAGTGGCCCTTTGGTGCTAATCACTGTTTTCCTCTGTCTGACTCTTTGGGGACCTGAAGGTTTAAGGGAGGATTTATCTTTGGAATTGAGTCTTTCAGGATTCGAGTATGTGTGGCAGATTGAGAGAGGATAGGAGGATATTCTGGGATTAGGTATCAGCCTTTACAAAGATACAAAAGAGTGCTGGGTGTTAGGGATCAACTAGAAGTTTGCAGTTTGGGGTGGTAAAGTGAATAAAATATGGTGAAGGAAGAGGACAGGGAGCAAAAATGTTTGTCAATGGATTGAAAATATATGTGGAAGGGTATGCACATTTTTCATTAATACCACTTATTTGTTTCTGGTACAATTACAGAGGCATAAAACTGACATAGCCATTCATTTAAAATCCATTTATTAATCAACCACTGAGAGGTTATTACATGCCAGGCTCTTCAGGATCAGACAAGACAAAACTTCATGCCCTTACAGCACTTAACATTCAATCAGGGGAAGCCAACAAAATGCAAACAAATAAAATACATACTGTATACATAAAACAATGTAAAATGCTATGAAGAAAAATACCACCTGGGAGAGAGAGTACAATTTAAAGCCATTTTCAGCAAATTCTTCACTGCTAGGTGACATTTGATCAAAGACCGAAAGGAAGTGAGACCCATGGATATCTGGGGGGTGAGGAGAGTCCCTTGTAGAGATGGGTCTGGCCTGACCCGGGACTGGTTCTTTAGAGTATACTTTCTGAACAGATACTACACCCTTCCTTTCAGTCTGTTCGTGCTCTTTCCATATTGCTTCATATTCCTTACCTTTTTGTGTGTGAATGATACACATTTTTTAAATTTTGTTTACAGTATAATGTTTCTAGAGCCAACTGCAATAAGATTATCATGTTGTTCACGGATGGAGGAGAAGAGAGAGCCCAGGAGATATTTGCCAAATACAACAAAGATAAAAAAGTGAGTGATTTTCTAGTATTTTCTTTCATTTTGGTATCAATGTACGTGGTTTTTAAAGAGATGTGACGGAGGGTCACTAAGAGGGGAAATTAGCATGCTGATTATAAAGTCATATGGATCATGGATTATAAACCACTGACGCAGTTACAGAATTATTCAGCGTAATACTTTTTATGTGATCCTTAATTACCTTCTATCTAATTTATTAATAAAATAATTTGGACCTATAAAATCCTATCTGTTTCTTGTGTATAAATTCTGTATGAGAAAATGTTATAGGAAGAGAGTAACCAGAAGAGAATGGAAAAATAGGAACAGTTTAAGCTTTTCTAGGAAAACTTTGTGATCATTTAATTATTATAGTAATACTAAAACTTCCTACATATGTCTAAAAATTATCTTCATATAGACATTGTTCTGTAGATTTCCAAATGAAGCAATTTATAACAGCAAAAATTGCATCCTTATTTGAAAATCATTTTTATTTTGTCAACTTTCAAAGTAAAACAGCCAGGGGCGCCTGGGTGGCTCAGTCGGTTGAGTGTCCGACTTCAGCTCAGATCATGATCTCACGGTCTGTGAGTTCGAGCCCCGTGTCGGGCTCTGTGCAGACAGCTCAGAGCCTGGAGCCTGCTTCCGATTCTGTGTCTTCCTCTCTCTCTGCCTCTCCCCCGCTCATGCTCTGTCTCTCTCTGTCAAAAATAAATAAACATTAAAAAAAAAAAAAAAAGTAAAACAGCTAGTTATTTTATCAGCAAAATGGGTTTATTCAGGAATAGCAGAAGAATTCCAGCTCAGGACATGTAAGCTATGGCAAGCGGTAGGCAAGTATCCATATCAAAGAAGAGGAACTCTGCAGGGAAAAAAAAGAGAGAGTTGCAAACCACTGCTTGAGCCAAAACCCATTGGAGGAAAGCCAGCGTTCAGGGTGGCGATGGTTTCTCCTTGGCTGAGTTGAGATATTTTGTTATTGGCTGAGCTCGTTCCTGGGCAAAGAGAAATTCTTTCTCCTGCTGGAGTGGGAAAGTAGGCTGTTTTTCTTGCAAATGCAAAGTACTTCTTACTGGGATCTGCACCTGATGAGGGGTGTTAGGGCCTGAGACCTTCCCCTTCCCCTTCTGGCTTCCCAACACCATTTTCGAGGAAGTTTCCTTTATTCAGTTTTACACACTCAATAGAATATATTAGACAAGTTCTTTAATATGCATAATATTTTTAAAGTATGCTGCTTCCATAAGGAATGAGGAATGTGAAGACAGGAATTTTGAGGTTGTAATATATTTGTTTCAGTGATTATGTAACTGCAGAAAAAAGTAATGTTGGGAGACCTATTTCGAACGTTCATCCATGTACCTAAACCTGCTGATACTGCAGAGGATGTCAACTGTAACTAACTATCTTTCTAGCAATCCTACCATCAGTTTATTTCAACTTTCTGACTGACTCTTCACATTTGATAAGAGAATGATTCTTAATTCGGTTTTCTAAAATGCTAAGGATCCATTAGGAAAGTAATGATAAATCATAAGCTGTTTCTTGTGTTTCAAGAATTCCAACAGATATTACACATTGATCCAGAAGAACTCTCTATTGAAGAAAATGCCAATTCGCTTTGGTTTTAATTGCTGTTTTCACCATTTGGAGAGGTGTAGTTCATCATGAGCTCTAGTAGATTGTTTTATATGTATTCTAGGAATTAAAAGGAGAGAGGGAAAAGATGAATTAATATATTTCGATAGTTTTGCAGACACAGTATTGTGAATAATTGGGTACAGTATTGATGAACTTTTTTAGAATACTTTGAATACTCCTAGGTGCTTTTTAGCCTATATGTGATTGCAATATGATCGAAGAATTGAAAACATACACACACATAAAACATCAAATTCACTACAAATCTTTTTAATACTCAACTCTTTGAATACTTACATATACTGCAATTATGTTATGACATAAGTTTCATCCATAGGTTGAGGTTTTTTTCTCTTTTTTTTTCCTAAGGACCTAGTGATTTTAATCGTATAGAGAAACCATTTCTTTTGAAAAAGTTAATAAATTGAACCATTGACCGAATACTTTCAGATGATAACTTGATGTTATAAATAGTTCTTTCCAAAAAAAGTATCAGAATGAAAAGAAATGGGAAGATCCAGGTGCATTAATCTAAGATATAATGTACATTTAATTACCTTACTTAGTAACTTCTCATTTTTCAAAATTCAGGGCAATCATCACCCCCTGGAGGATGTCCCTGACACCCCCCTCCCCTTCAGGCTTGTTTGGATGCTTGTGCTCTGATCCCAAAGCACACTGTATGGGATCCTACATGTCCCTTACACTGTACTGTCCCCATGGGAGCTCTCCTTGGTCCCCTCTCTGGATTACTAGATCCCACAAGACTGGGCCTCTGAACTCTAGGTATCCAGCAGCGAGGTCAGATTTGGAGATAGTTTTTAATGCATGACAGTAAATGAATTGAGACTATCTCACAGAAGTTGGAAGCAGGATTTCTATTATAGGACAAACATGTAATTATGAAAATAACTTGGGGCAAGGAATTTTCAGCTTATTTAAATGTTCTAAATAATTCTAACATTACCATATTTTAAAGAACTCAAATAAAACAAATTTAATCAAAATTCAACTGTATCTCAAGATTCTAGTAGTTAATCTTACTTTCATCATTTGGAAGTGACCTTTTGGCACCTTAAATTTAGTCATAATTTTAAGAATATGATTTTATGATAGAAGTATGTAAGTACAAGCCCCACCATTTATATCACTGTTTTTAAACGGATACAAGTTTAGATAAATCATCTTTTATTTTATTAATGTATCATCCAAACCTACCACTGGGAATCTCACTTACTTCTGGATATTTTTCTTCTTTTAAAATGGAAGGATTCTTGGGGCGCCTGGGTGGCTCAGTCGGTTAAAGCGTCCGACTTCAGCTCAGGTCACGATCTCGCGGTCCGTGAGTTCGAGCCCCGCGTCGGGCTCTGGGCTGATGGCTCGGAGCCTGGAGCCTGTTTCCGATTCTGTGTCTCCCTCTCTCTCTGCCCCTGCCCCGTTCATGCTCTGTCTCTCTCTGTCTCAAAAATAAATAAAACGTTAAAAAAAAAAATAAATTAATTAAAAAAAAATAAATAAATAAAAAATAAAATGGAAGGATTCTTGGGGCACCCGGGTGGCTCAGTCGGTTAAGCGACCGACTTCAGCTCATGTCATGATCTCGCAATTAGTGAGTTCAAGCCCCGTGTCTGGCTCTGTGCTGACAGCTCGGAGCTGGAGCCTGCTTCAGACTCTGTGTCTCCCTCTCCTCCTTGGGCTCTGTCTCTCTCTGTCTCTCAAAAATAAATAAACATTAAAAAAATTTTAAAAATAAAATAAAATGGAAGAATTCTTAAATTAATGTGGCAATGAATTTTACATATTATGTCAGAATTTGTCACAGACAAATCTTGATTTTAAGGAGTATATATTTTAACAAATTTAAATTAATAAAAAATGTATAAAAAGAGAAGTAATTTTCATCTACATTTGTAATTTTTTTCTCCTTGAAAACTGTATTTGCATCCAGGATTAACACAATAACATGTCTTGAAGGCATAGCATAAACGTTTTTTTTCCTTGTTTTAATACAAGAGGATTTATGTCCTCAGGAAAGCAATAGTTTTTATCCTCTACTATCACAAATTGTTTAATTGAATAAATGAAGAACTTACTGGTTTAAAGCCATTTTTCCTTCTATGCATCCTAAAAAAGTCCAGTCTAAATATTAATATCTTGAAACACTGCTTCTCATCCCCTTCACCTTTTATAGGAACTAAACTTTTAAACAAAGCATTTTGTGACATAGTAAACCACATGATAAACGATTCATATCACATTCACTTTTGTCAAAGTAATGAATCCAGTCTTATGCAACAGTCCTGCTGTTTGCTCACATACTGACTCCTGTGCTTTATGGACACACACTTTTCTTAAGGGCACACACTTGTATTAATGCCAAAGCAACTTTGAAAATTAATGCTTAGTTTCTGCAATATTTAATTGTTATTTTTACCTAACATAAACATTAAGATGTTCTTGGAATTAGATACTTGATTGTTTCTGTGATTCTAATTTCAGTGGCTGTAGCAAAGTTTTTGTGATAAGCACACTTATACATATATGCTTACCTACATACACAGATATATCCATACATACAAATTTATGCGTATTTTTTTTTAATTTTTATTTATTTTTGAGACAGAGAGAAACAGAGCATGAGTGGAGAAGGGGTAAAGAGAGGGGGAGACACAGAATCCGAAGCAGGCTCCAGGCTCCGAGCTGTCAGCACAGAGCCCGATGCAGGGCCCGAACCCACCAAATGTGAGATCATGACCTGAGCCAATGTCAGACGCTTAACCCACTGAGCCACCCAGGTGTCCCTGTATCTATTTTTGAAAACATTTTAATGTTTATTTACTTCAGAGAGAGATAGAGAGAGAGAGGGAGGGAGACACAGAATCTGAAGCAGGTTCCAGGCTCCAAGCTGTCAGTACAGCTTGTGGGGCTTAAACTCACAAACCGTGAGATCATGACCTGAGCTGAAGCTGGATGCCTACTGACTGAGCCACCCAGGCACCCCTATATCTATTTTAAATGGGCATCCCCTCTGTCCATTGTATCTCCAGTAACAAGAGACCATGTGTGCTACTTTGGCATGAGCTTTCTAATATAAAATTGTATGAATAAAAGCCAGCTGGTGGTTTAGAAGTAAACGAGGGGTGAGAAAAGAGAAATCTGAATATAAAACATTTTTTCTAAAATATTTGCAAATATCACGGGGAAATTAAGACCATCGACTCAAGGTCATAGTTTAGATACACACACAGGTATGGGTGTGTGTGTGTGTATCTCCATACTTTGTTTTTTTTTTTTTTTTAATTTTTTTTTTCAACGTTTTTTATTTATTTTTGGGACAGAGAGAGACAGAGCATGAACGGGGGAGGGGC